GAGAATAACTATTGAGAAGTTTTTATGATATAAAACCCAAAGGTCTTCTCATAGAGGATCAAATATCTTCTTATGGCTTACCAAAAATAATTCTCATAGAATACCGACAGGTTTTCTTCTTATGGCTGACCAAGAAGTCTTTTCATAGAAGACCAAAAGGTCTGTTCAAAGAAGACCAAAAGATCTTTCATAGAATACCAAAAAATTTTCTCATAGAATACCAAAAAGTCTTCTCATAGATGACCAAAAGATATTTTCATAGATGACCAACATTTTACTCATAGAAAACCAAAGATCTTCTCACAAGGTCTTCTCATAGAAGGGGAGGCTGTGTTATCATCTAAGGCAACAGGATCTTTCTACAGTAGGCCAAAAGTTGTCTAGTTCATCTAATAGAAATTCAGATTTTTTTTGCAGGGAAGATCATAGCGTTTTCTTATGAAAAACAATAGATATTCCGTTCCGTTCCGAAGATTCCGTTTAGAAGGCTAGAAGAACTTTTTAGTGTAGCACGCCTTTCTTATTCCCTACATACTAATACGTCATTGGTCTTCTTTCAAAAAAGTCTTATAATTAACAATTCCCTGGATCATGGAACCCAAATACCCTATATAAGACGGGCTGAAGAATTAGGTTATGATATTTTGGTGACCAATACAAATGATAATTATCGCATTGTTGATGGCAAACGTAAACCCATACAGGGTTTGAGTTCGGCAACCTCACATGCTGCGCATGTGTGGGAAAAATATGTTATGGCATGCGAACCGGAGGCAGTGGCCATTGTGGCTCATAGTGCTGGTGGTGGAGTTACCTTGGATTTGGTAAGAAGCAATTTAAATATTTTACATATCATATTAATAAAAAGCTTTTTATACCCAGGCTCGTCGTTATCCTGATTTTTTCCAAAATAAAGTTTTCGCCATTGCTCTAACGGATTCCGCCCACTTTGGTATAAGTGGTGATATACGCAAGATAATTGCCGGCAAAACATGCAACTGGGTATCGAGCAGTGAACCATTGGATACGGAAATTAAAACATCCAAAGATGATATTAAAATGGTTTCAGCAGGTATGTTTTTTTTTTTCAAAAGAGAACACAGCGATAGCTCCATAATATTCACTGTATTAATTATTGCTTACAGGTCACACCAAACACGAATGGACTTCGTATTCCGCATTTGAATCGGTTTTCAATTTCCTAGAAGATAAATATGCGGAATTTAGTGGTGAACAAAAAAGCAAGAAACAAAAGTTGGAGGAATAAACAGGATAACAATTTGGGAAAAAAGCGAGATTTTACTAATGGATTTTAACAAATACTTTAAAATGTTGAATAGATATAATATTTACAAAATGAATGTTTGTATGTTTATGCTCGTTTACAAAACACACAAAACCAAAAAAGACAACACAATTGTAAATTACTTTAACTGCCGTTGAACAATTTTGAAATGCTTAATTTATAATTTTAAATTACACAAATTTGGATTAAAGTCAGTCTCTAGACCTTACATTATACAATTTATATTTCATATTGGCAACGAAAATATTTATTTTTACAAAACTTATGTGAAAATAAAAAATCTCAATTACATACTTTTGATATTATCACAATCATATTTTACACAATTAAATTTAATTTGCTTTCAATTAAATTCTAAATAAGAAAAAAGAGCAGTCTATATACATGTTTAAATGGAGCAATAACAAAAATGTATACACAAAAAAATAAAAAACAAATATAAATGTTAAAAAAATTAGTATAGAAGATTAAATTTTGAAAAAAAGAAACACAAATGCTGAAATAAAAAAATATATATTTTAAATATGTTCTAAGATTTCACAAGCAAACTGAAATGTAGTTTTCAATGTATGAGCGCCTAAAAAAATATTTATTAATAAATCAAGGCTTATTATTGGCATTTTTTAAAATGCACGCCTATTGGTGCTTTTTAAAAAACATATTTAGAAACTGTGCGCTTATTGGTAATCTATAAAAAAAATATTTAAAAAAAGGGAATTCCTATTGTAGATCCTTGGATAAATATTTTTAAAAAATACAGGCCTATTGATGGGTGATCTTTAAAAAAATATTTCTAAAAAACCACTCCTCTTGGACTTCCAGATATTTAAGCTCCCCTGATAACTCCTCCCCATGGTAACACATGTTTGCTTATCAAAATACCATTATCCTTGCCAAAAGCACCACTATTCCCCAAAAAAAGAAAACCTTCCTATTATAAATTACCTACTTACCCCATAGCATATGTTTCTTAACTGATTTTTTATGGGTTATGAGCTGCGGAATGCACTCATAAAACTAAATTTCCTTTCCTCGATATTTATATCGTATAGTTGATTTTATGACTCCTTAATGACATCATATCATCAACAGCAAACTTCCTAAAACCGATGCCAATATTCGCATCGGTTTGGAGATAACATCAACAGAACATCAAAATTCCCCCAGGAACAAACCAAAAAAAAAAAACCGAAACCAGAAGAACACTTGTCTTAATGGGATGTTCAGTTTCAGTTTTTTCTCCCGAAGATGTTGTCATGCAGAATTACAACAACAAAAAAACAACTACTATTGATATATGTTGTTGTACATTATTTTTTATGACATGTTAGCCAAAATGATAAGACAATAGAAGAGGGTAGTGGATAAAAAAATTATTCTCAAACTTCATATAATAAAGAGGGTGTCACAAGTCGCAAAAATCGAAAAAAACGTAACAAAATATTGACCATCACACTTAAGTGGTCGTAAACACCCCCCTTATGCCGCCAACCAACAAAAAAACATTAGTTATGATAAGAGTGATTTTTTGGAATATGGACATCACATTGTGGTTGCGTGTGGTAATAGTCCAGGCGGTTGTGGCCACTAGGATGTGTGTGTGTTTTTTAGTTGGTCGTTCGGTGGTGAGAACAAAAATCAAATTAAATGTATTGATGTAAATGATAGTGACATATCACTGATTGCATTGACGTCTCAAATATCTGTGAAATATATTCGACAATGTGTCAAACTCTTATCTGGTTTTGTGAAAGACATCACGAATTATCCTTTGGGGACTGGAGATAAATGTCAAGTGTTTTTGATAGAAGAAATAAATTGCAGGCAATTTTTTCTACACTTAACAATATATACAACAATATGTTTGTTAAAAATAGAGGATACGCGAGAATGTGCGAAGAAGTGCAAGTCGAAAGATATATAGGGACTTTGGTACACCAATTACCTTAAATCGGACGAAAATATATATGGGAGCTATATCTAAAACTGAACCGATTTTCGGGAAACTTGACACACATCATTCTAGACCTAATTTATTACGCTGTGCCAAATTTCGTGCAAATCGAGAGATATATAGGAACTTTGGTACACCATTTACCTTAAATCGGACGAAAATATATATGGGAGCTATATCTGAATCTGAACCGATCTGTGATATGAACGAAATTTAGCATACATCTTTCTAGGCTTAGTTCAGTACGTTATGCCAAATTTTATGAAAATCGATGGATGTACAGGGATTTTGATACACTATTTACCTAAAATCGGACGAAAATATATATGGGAGCTATATCTAAATCTGAACCGATTTTTCCCAATTTTAATACGTTTCTTGCTTGGGCCAAATAAATGAGTTGTGCCAAATTTCATCCAATTCGAATCATAAATGCGACCTGTACTTTGTTTACAATTTAAAATAGACAGACAGACGGACGGACGTGCATATATCGACTTAGAAAGTGATTCTATTCACATTCTCAAAAGGAACCATGTATCTCGTTTCCTTTTGCCTGTTACAAACATATGCACAAAGACAAATGTTCCACATCTCTTGTGAATATCTCCTACTGTCAAGTGCAATGACATTTGAAATCTCAAAAAAATCTGAACATGACTACATCAAATTCTTGACAGTTCTTCATTTATATTTTACCTTGGGGACCTGAAAGCAAAACATGGCAACCCAAGAAATGTGAAATGGACGTGACAACATTTAAAGGTATAATGCGTGTGATGGGTTTTTCGTGTAACGAAAATGTGTGTCTTTGAAGGAATGTGCTTTGAGACTATTTAATTGGGACTATGACCAAACGTGGGTCGTTATAACCCATATGCAATACCAATCATATTAGGAGTAATAACAATGTATGTGCCTAGTTTTAAAGCTCTATCATAAATATTGCTATCTCTAATGCGATTTCCTAAAATTTCCCTTCTGTTGCTCCGTTTATTTTTGAAAATTATTATTTAAAAAAAGTCCAAGTTTAATTTAGTGATGAATGAAATTCTTTAAAAAATCTACACTTATAGCTCTTTTCAACCATGAAAATTAAATCCAGGATTATTGTTTTATTTACGCTTGATAGTTTTTTAAATATAGTTTTACGCCTTTTGACCTTTTAAGCTTTAATAATATTTTTAAAAATTTAATTTCTATATACCTCGATTCCCTCTGAATCACCTATTCTACATTAAAAGCTGAGTATGAAACTTCTCTACAACATATCTTACATGTAAATACATAATTGTATATAATAGCTATTGTTTGTATACAATTTTTTATATATACTCACTCAAATACATATGTATATGTATGTAGTATATAAACCATATGAAGCGCATGACCCACTGTTGAACTCTCCAAACATAAATTTTCGCACAGTAAAACAACAACAAAAAACAAACACCCTTAACAACTACAAGGATATCATCAATTCACACGCACACACATTTACACTTCACAAATACACACACACACACCAAAACATGACACCTCCCCTTTCTGCACTTAAAAACAATGGGGGGCTTTCATGATACCTACCCATCTACCTACCTGTTTCCCCTAATGGGAGTTGAACCACAACGATAAGGCAATGATATTGGTTAACACAAAGTAAGAAGGTGGAAATGAAAAGAAAGGAAAAAAACTTTCAAGATATTTCACAAATATCCTTCACAAAGGCAAAAGGTACACTCTGAGAGATAGATAACACAATATAAGTTAGGTGGAGCAAAAGCCATGACTGTTGGCCAAGTATTCGACACCACATAAAGTCTCAGGTAGGTAACTTAAATATTCTAGACAAAAAAGAAAGCATCGAAACAAAGTCCGTTTACACATCTTCGTTGGGAGGTTCGGTTATGTGTATCCTTTGATATACACACAAAAATTTGCAAAGATGTATTTTGGAAATTTTTGTAAATGTGCGAAAGTTTGTTGGGAATTTCTTTGCCAAGTTTCCTTTTTAAATGATAAGATGGAATTGATATTTTGTTGCTTTTCAACAAAAGTATAATTTTCCTTTTCTAAAGTAAACTTTGAAAACACGTGTGGCATACAATGTAACTTAAATATGTTTAAAGATTGAAAATTTCTAAGAAAAGAATATTTTGTGTTGTAATTAAAAAACTTAAAAAAAATGGAACTATTTAAGGCTTTTGATATAATGATATATACACATATACACAATAATTTATATACATATATAAAATTTTATATGAGGGTAAATTGCTCCCACGATAAAACGAGATACAGAACTAGACTCTTAGGTAGAAAATTCTTTTATATCCTACCAATGAGGCGTGGATTTTAACAAAATATCTTTTGTAGCCTACCAATAAGGCGTAGATTAAACTAATATTTTTATAGCCTATTAGCTTTTTTTGTAGCCTACCAACAAGGCGTGGATTTTTGTTGGTAGATCCCCAGTGAGGCGTGGATTTTTAAAATATACTTCTTGTAGCCTACCAACAAGGCGTGGATTTTTAAAATATACTTCTTGTAGCCTACCAACAAGGCGTGGATTTTTAAAATATACTTCTTGTAGCCTACCAACAAGGCGTGGATTTTTAAAATATACTTCTTGTAGCCTACCAACAAGGCGTGGATTTTTAAAATATACTTCTTGTAGCCTACCAACAAGGCGTGGATTTTTAAAATATACTTCTTGTAGCCTACCAACAAGGCGTGGATTTTTAAAATATACTTCTTGTAGCCTACCAACAAGGCGTGGATTTTTAAAATATACTTCTTGTAGCCTATCAACAAGGCGTGGATTTTTAAAATATACTTCTTGTAGCCTACCAACAAGGCGTGGATTTTTAAAATATACTTCTTGTAGCCTACCAACAAGGCGTGGATTTTTAAAATATACTTCTTGTAGCCTACCAACAAGGCGTGGATTTTTAAAATATACTTCTTGTAGCCTACCAACAAGGCGTGGATTTTTAAAATATACTTC